GCTAGAGTAATAACACTGACAGGAGCCTGTCGAGTGCTCCTGACAGTGTTATTACAGCAGTGACTGTGATAGGTCACATTACTTATATCTCTCCACTTTTCTTTGTCTCCTCTGTCTTGGTTTATAGTCTCCCACCGTGCTTTCTCCTTGGTCCTGCGTGTTCCTGCAGAGAGACACTTTGTTCCCCCATGTGCATGCAGTGCCTCACCTGCTAAGCTGCCACAATTTACCTCATCAGCATCTGCCTATGCAAGCCTCCACTCTGGCAGTAGTCATTTGCTTAATTGTTATGTGTGCTCTGCTCTGCATTTGTTAGTCTACGTACATTTACTCAAGTTCCTGGGATTTTACTGCACTGCCTTCAATAAAAAAAAAAATACAGCTAAATTCTACTCCTGCCTGCAGCTGCTCGTTTTCTTTTGGGTTCAAAAATCTGCTTCAAACCAAACAGTTACAACAGTGTCACTGTTTTGTGATAATGCCGGGTAAGTCTGTGTAATATAGTAGAATATTTGTACACCTATGTAGAACATGAAATGTGTGACTGAATTTGTGTCTTAGATCCAGATCCTGATGACACAGGTAAAGTTGCATGTGAAATACCATGTGCAGATCTTTGGTCTACTTATCCGTGATGACTTACTGTGACTTACTGTACATCACCTGCTCAGGCAATAACATGTCAGCAAAAATGGATGTCATGTTGCAGCTATATTACCACATTAGCCAGATCGTGCACTGATATGTGTAAATGACTTTAAGCTAAATTTAAATATTAGCACCAACATACCATTTGCACAAGGGCTACTGTAATTTGTTCTACTCTTTATTTTTAGCTCACTCTGCATCATCAGAGGCAGAGGTGATTGTGCCATAGCCACAAACCACACATATTTATCACTTAAAGGAGATAATTGTGTGTGAAAACCTTGGAGACAAGGGATAACAAATGAACCACCAGAACAGAATTACCTTCATAGCTTGTAACCTTTGCAGGCTACAAATAAGTTTAACAAGTTGAAAATAAAGTGATGAATGATAAATGTCTACACAGCACCATTCAGTGGTACACTACATGTTGGGATGGTATTAAAAAAAAAAAAAAACTATACTGCATCATTATTTTCTGTATAATTGTACATAACATGCCTTATAAGGATCGGACTCCATGGAATTACGTAGGCTGTTTATTGGACTAAATTACATTGCACACATGTTCATGTTACAGTGTTTATGCCAACACAGTTGGTTGTGTTGGCATAAACCTGGCAAGGGTTCTTGTTCTTACAAGACTGCACTGGCAACTCCTACTTGAAACTAGGGAAATACTGGAAACAGTGTAAGGCAACAGCCAAAAGTGAAGTTATATAGCAGTGCAGTTTTACAACCGTGCCTAAATGGTACCTATAAAGCAATGATCATATCCGTAAAACTGCTTGTTTAGATGCTGTTTAACAGAAAAAGGACAATTTCCCGATAGGAGAGAAAACAAATGTGAAGAAACATGCACAGTTTTCCTCAGGTAAATACAATGCAAGTCATGTGGGACCCTGGATATGTGATATTTTTTGTCTTATTTTCAGTAACAATACATAGTTATTCAGCCAATGTCCTGCTCATAGCTAACTATCAAACTGATACCTTTTCATGGCGAGGGATTATAAGTCTGACAGTGTTGAATGAATCACTGAAGATAGAACACCACGGACTGTGCAACTCAAATATTATATACATGTTCAGATTATTAGAGAAATGCTCTCTTTATTTCAACTACACATGAGAAACTGAAGTGAGAGATGTGCATTTGGAGAAGGTTAAACATTGTAAAATACAAAATGAATTCAAGTCCACCAAGGAGGTTATGTTTTCCCCCATGTCCGTCTGTTTAAGAAACAGGATTATGCAAAAAGTAATGAACCAATTTGGAGGGATGGGGCCTGGGCCAGGGAAGAGCCCGTACAATTTTCGTACGATGCAGTTAAAGGGGAAGATCCAGGAAACTTTTATCACTTTCCTTGAGATGGAGCTTTTTTTTTTTCAACACATTCGTCAATTTCTCCGGAAATAATGTATCGACGTAAAAAAAATCTGTCATATTTATGGTGTTGAGATCTATGACTTTGTACAATTTGGTGCGGATAATAATCTGGATCTGACAGACGTGTAAGATTGTGTGGTGTTGGCGGAGGTATGCACTCCACTGAGTGCCACTCTACTCTCACTGTGCACAGAGGCATTCATTGCTTTCACAATACTTCTCTTCAGTCTCTTAATTGTGAACAGTGTCTCGATATCCACGGTGTAGCTACATTACAGTTTAACATGCTGTTGGAAATTTTTGTTGAAGTTTAACTCAGAACTTCAGGTGGTCTCAGATCAATGTCAGAATGTCATTCCAAATTGGAACCACATTAGAATTATGCAATATATAAATGTGAAGAAGTTTGATGTAATTTAAAGTTTTATTTTAAATAACATAATAAATGTAACAACCAAGCCCATCAGTGGTAGTTATCTGTACCTCAAAGCTCAGCAGAAAGATTGGATGAGTGAGTCTAGGTGTCTGACTAAGGTATTTGTTCTCTGCAGTTCAGCAGAGGACACAAAACTTATTTCAGGTTTTCCTGTTCCTCACTTTCTGTCAGTGGAGATACCACCTGGAAGCTATGTCCCCTTCCAACAGAATTAAGAGATGTGAGATGAGGCGACATACTCACTAAATTACAAGCTTGTTTATGTCTTTGTCTGATGGATGTTTACCATAATCCACCAAAAAAAAAATGTTGCATTAGCAGGGACACTGTGAAACAGAAAAGTAGCTAATGTCTCTCTGGCAATTTCTCTTTGCTATGTGGACATGTTAATGTGCACAATTAACTAATCAGCTTATGCCAGCTGGAACTCTTGGCAGCTCAGTCTGACAGCCACAGCTCCTCTCTTGAAAACATCTTGAAAGATTCTGGTTCAGTCTCCCTCTGTGTAATTTTATCTCCTGCCAGGCTAGAATAACCAGCTTTGACACCCCAGAAACAAGTCCAGTTCTTGGTGTTTTTGTTTCGATTACAGTTTGCAGTGATTTGTGGGCAGAAATTTTTAATTCTGAAGTATTTAGTGTGCTGATCTCAACATATTACTCTGAGTGATTACATTCAAAAGATTCATTAAATATTTGAGCTGTTTGTTGCTATAATGGACAAGATCGCTCAGTTGAGCAATGTGCTAATTTATGAGTTAAGAAACACTGTATTGCCAGTGAACAGTGCCTGCCTGACAAAACACCACCTGAAATACATATGGCAAACAACTAATAAGACAAAAAATACAAACACAATATATAGAGAAGGAAAGCTGTACTTCGTCGTACCAAAAGTGCTTGGTGCAGGCTAAAAGACAAAATATGTGCATCAGATGATGACTCCACTGTTTGCAATTCAAGTACAATCTTGTCCAGTCCTATATATCAAGAAACCCCATTTGATATTTGGTGTCTGTAAAGAGTTCCCCCGCTGCTTCCACTCCACAGCAGAGCAGTTGTCTTGATTAATACGAATACTTAATTTGTCATTAAGGCTGATTAATTCCATTAATCTTTAAGGTTTAAAGTCATTCAGTAATGTCACTGAGAATCAATTATTTGCCATGGCAACCAGCATAAAGAAGACGAGGATGGTGGAAGTTCAACAAATGCATATAAAGCGATCAGTAAATTTGAAAAATTGGTCAGTTCCAACAGCTGTATCAATATAAATATGAAACCTGACTCTACAGTATATTACTCTTAATGCCTACTTTTCAGAAGCCAGATATTGTATATACCTGTGTGCACAGAAATTGGCCTTGGCAGTGGAAGCCATTGATTTTCTCACTGCTTCTGTATAGCATCACCCCTTTCCTGCCGGCACAGCATGTAATATGAGACCACAAGTTTTCCCTTACCCACAGCAATCAATTTTGCTTAGCCGAGCTCCCTGGCCTGGATGGGGCCCGGCTAAGTACCTGTCTCCTCCGACACACAGCCCCTGCTGCATACCCTCACCCTCAGCAAAAAGCTTTCAGCGTAATAAAAAACATATCTGACTCAAGACCCGACCAATCTAATAATGGCCAGACAAGTCAGTGTGACTACAGAGTGCTAACTGTGTCACTGCTAGGGAGGCGGTGTGTATGGAGCGCAAGTGCAGGAGAAAGACCAAGAAATCAAAGAAATCACTCTGATCTTCAATTCAATGTGAAGATGATCCACATCACAATTTCTTCAATGCTATCAGTTCTACAGGTTGAAGTATGCCATGGTTTCTCACCCTAAAAGCAAAAAGCATTTATGGCATTTTATGTTAAAAGAAAAGGGGAAAAAAATCCAATATATGAGGCCATATATGAGGGCATGCTGGGCATGATTGAGTCTGATTGATATGTATCTTAAACTCCCTCAGCTTCGATCAGTCTCACATATTGTTCAGCAGAAAGACTGGGTTGTAAATGTTCACTTAGAGACATGTCTTGTCCCTTACAGGATACATTTTCAGCCATCAGTTACAGTAATGAAAACAAATGGATTGGCCGGTTTCATAGAGATAGCAAGCCTGGGCTGCAGCCAAAGATAACAGGGCTAAACTCCTCCAACAGAGGCAGCGTGGGTGTTGGATTCAAAAAGACTGGCACGGAAAAAAATAAGAGATGACTACCTATTACTGACTGTTTCGAAGAATGATACTAAGAGCTAGCTAATAGAGGAAGGATTTTAAGATATAATTCCATTCACAACTGACACTGACCCATCAATGAAGTATTTCACTATGAAATATAATTGAATCCATTGGCATGCATTACCATGTACTCCGTCAATTATTATGCCAGGGAGGTAAGAGCTAATCCTTTAGCAGAGTGAAAGTCAGCTATCTGTAATAAGAAGGCTGGCTGTTGTTTTTTTTTCCTTCAAATATATTGATCTAATCTCTACAGTATAACAGATAACAGGTTGAGCTCAGATAGCATCTTACCTGTAGCCACTGTGACTGATCACTGTGTCCAGCTGTCCAAGCATTGACCTTGCCCTGTTTGTCCAAACGGGCCTTCCCAGGCTCCCAGGTGAACATGTCCATGTTGAGCGTCCTGAAGATGCTGGAGGCCATGACCTGGTAGTCCTGGATATGGCCTGACTTCATTCCCAGTGGTTCAGAACAGCCTGGTAACAATAGACACAAACAGATTTGCTCTAACCATACTGACTGTACACCCCCCCCCCCCCCCCCCCCCCCAAAAAAAAAAAAAAGTCAAAAAACTGTATATTTTCTGTGTTGTTACCACATTAAAAAAAAATGCAGTCTAAAACAACCTTGCAGGAGGCGTACTGCAGTGGATTTTCAAATCATCTTATGCTGACTTTGTGTACACAGTTGAAAGGATTTAGTTCAACTCACTCACCTGTTAGCTCACAGCCGAGCAGCTCCATGCGTAAGGTACAGTGCCTCCTGCAGACTTGGGGGTAGATGCGCACGTACTGGGCTTCAATGGGAGGGGTGAAGGAGTTGGCTGATGGAGCGTTGTTATCGACATTTCCTCTGAAAATCTGTTGCAGGGGATGAAATAACAGCAGATGGGGGCGGGGAGGATGGTGAAGCAGATCAGTTTTACCGTAATGTGGCAGTCGATCTGGCGCTGTCTCTAGTGTCTACTCCACACTCAACAAATTGCTGTCATTCAAGGTCAATGAGCTAGAATTACAGGGGAAAACAGACAATTTCTCGCACCATTTGAGCCCGTAATTCATAAGAACAGTGGTGTGTTTTAAATTAGTGCTCCAATTATATCGCCATACCTTCTGGAGTGTTTTATCCAAATGACCTGAGATAGTCTGACAGAAACTCTTTGACTTGAGTGACTGATGGGCTGTAAGTCTGACGTGCGGAGAGGAAGGGACAGAGAAAGAGAAAGCTACGGATAGACAGAGCGGTGTGTTCATGCGATATAGGAAATAGCAGTCACGGGGTGGCAACAGGTCAAAGTAAAAAAACAACAATTTATATTAGGTCAAGTATCAGGGCTTGTAACTGCTTCAAACACACCCACAGGCCCTATTACACAGGCATTTGTCCCACTCTGCTCATACAGTTACAACGTCCACCTCCAAAACTACTGTATACAAATTTACACTCAATCATGCACATTCTTGCTTTATGTAATTACAAATTTTGACTGAAAGCAAAAGACAAGACAGACAAGGAATAAAATCAAGATCATAGAATATTCAAGTCCAGCAGTATTGTTCTGCGTAATAAATTTGAGAACAAGTTTGGAAGTCAGGGTCATTCAGAGCTCAGCCAAATGGAGGACAGCCGTGGTTTGCTGTCAGGAATGATAGAACGCTGTGTGGCCTATTTGGTGGCTGTTCATCCCCAAATAGTATAAAAATTCAATCTAGAAGTCATAAAAGTGGAGGGGGTAAGGGGCAGCAAGATGGGCCCGGTGTGTGCTAGCTAATTAAAAAGCCATCTCATCACGTCCTCCACCCTGCCCTTGACTGAGTGCATAGTCTCTAGTCACCGTGTGTGCATGTGTACGAGTGTGTGTCTGTGTGTTACAGAGCGGGAAGCTAAAGGGAAAGAGCGGGAGAGATGACAATGGGTGTGCATGTCTGTGTTTGTGTGCCCACGTGTGTGTCTCACCATATCCTCATCTTTGCCCTTGACTTTGTATGTTCTCCAGGTCTTTCCGTCATCACTGTAGGCTACTTTGTAAGACTTGACGTACTCCGGGCTGCCGATACGCTTTGCACCCTGGGTAATTAGGCCCGTGACCCGCATTCTCCTCTGCAAGTTTATCTGTGGACAAAAAAAAAGAAAAAAAAGAAAGGTAAAATCAAGAAATTAGAACTTTATTTTCAGACACTATAAATGTGTGCATCTGTGTGCATGAGCAGTAAGTGTATGCAAGTCATGGGAATCAATTCACCCCCTTGTATCTTTTCTGTCAGGGCCATCCATCTTATTCAGAAAGTCTGTGATCAAATGGAACATTTAATCAATTCTCATGCTCCAGATCCATTCTGTCAACCCTGTGCAGACTGTCAATATGGTGCCAATGTAAAGTGGCTCAGAGAGCCAAGAGGAAAAGAGAGAGCTTAGAAAGAGGAAAGTGATGAATGCTTCGATAGATCCTGCTTAGTGCACACATCACAGGATCATTATTATCTGAGCACAATAGATGTGTTACACACCAGTGTGAGCTTTGCTTTGACATGCATTTCACTAACAGGTCACTTTGCTAAAGCGCAATTTAGCAAAACTGCACCTTTTCCAGACATTTCCATCTCATGAATTAGCGACAGCATGTTTAATAGGGTTGAAATTTTGCCATCATTGGATGGATCTCGGTTTAATTTATGTATCTGTGTTTAAATGCCAGTGTAGTCTCTTCATGATGCTAAATTTAGAGTTAACAGGTGGACAACTGAATTACTGGGTCTTTAAAAAAGTGCAAAAAAAAAAGACAGCTATAATATTGCATCCTTGCTTTTATTGCTTTAAACTAAGTGGTCACCATACTGTCTGGTCAAAACTAATTGCTCTTAAAAGATGCTTCAATAAAGGGCCGGATGTCATTAAATTCCAGAAGACATGATGATCTCAATGACTAGTTTCACATCTCCAAATGTTTATCTTTGTTGTAATAAAAAAAAAAAAGTCACAGATTAAATAAAAATAAATTTCCAAGAATTCTTCCTCGATTGACTGGAGTCCCGGCCTATCACACTCATGGTGGTTGGTGCTTCCTCAGTGCCATCCATCCTTTTTCATCTTGGAGAAAATTTTAAGAGACTGCCTCCAATTAAAGGATTGCAGCAAGCCTTGAGAGACCTGTGAGTTATGTTACAGATGTCACATCCATGTTTTTCTACAGTCAGTGTATTCAACCTGTCATCGCTGCTTCAAAAGTGGTTGCCCTGTAATTCTGGTGAACTTGTTTAAAAAAATGAGACAAGTCTCCAGAGATATTTTGTTATTTTTCTTAACAGCTAATGGCAGTTGACGGCAGCTCACCTCACTGTGACAACATGAAGAGGCCTGCGGTAAATAAGGAGTACTGCTGTGTTGGGTTACTCACACACTGCACTCACAGTTACACACACAAGGCTTTTTTTATAGTTAATTTTAATGATAAAAAAGTAAGGCAGGATAACACAAGGAAATTTCAGATTTATAATACTGTAGTGCACCTTTGATAGTCTGTGACAAATAAAATGAAGCAAATAAATGGTGATGACAATTCTTCATTAATCAATTTGGAAGTACATTCACAGCAAGCTGCTTCATTTTTAGGTAAAAAAGAGTTTGGTTCATCTAGCTCACCCTCTGACGAAATATAATAACATAGCCATCTATTCTTCTATAACTGCAGAACCAAAGGGCAGCGCTAATACAGTTTTAAGCAAAGTATTAAGCAAAGGACCATTAACCTGGAAAGACCAAATCAAAAAAACATTAAAATTAAAAAAAATACAGACTTAATAGAGTCTGGCTCAAGGTTGCATTTTTTCTTCATTTTATTTTTAGGATGATGCATTGTACACGGCAAAATCCATAACTTGATGTGATATTGCAAACAAACAAGTCTATATTTCATTTTATGGTTGTGAAGCTGAAGTCTGTTTCGACTTAAGAACATGAACCATTTTAAAGCTGATCCATGAGAAATGGAAGTCTAACTTCACTCACAATGTGACCACATTCAGGACGGTATTCCGGGGGTTTGAGCACATTTTCCGGTGTGGAAATGGTAACATTACTATGAAATAAGGCAATTTACAAGTAAAATATTTGAGAGCAAAAGCTCAAACCGATAGGCAGAGCCCACTAAGTTATACTCTCCTTTTCTGTTAATGAAAAAACTCTAAGCTGTGTCTCCTGAGGACATTAGAGATTAGAGTATTCGCTCTTACGGATCTAGCACTAAAAACGAACTGTTTTCTACAACCTTGTCTGAACTGTCATAAACTACTGGAGTAATGTACAATAGTTCTATTGCTGCATGGATTTCTTTGCTAATGTCCATTTGTAGTGACAAGACTCAATTACACATATTTTTCTACATACTTAAGCCATCGTTAGAAGTTAATTATACATAAGCACCCCTCTTAGAGCCTCAGAGCTGCAATGACCCACCCTTTCTCATTCACAGCATTTCTTCGCTCTTCTCAGTTTTCTCCATAGAGATAGATACTTCTCGCACTAATTAGAGGCCCTGTCACTAAAAGGCCACTGCCTGGGTAATTGGGGTGATCCTTCACATTTTTAATGACCACTCAGAAACACACCTCTGTCACTTCAGCGCTAATAGTGATGCATTTATTTGTCTGAGTGAAGCATCTTTGGAAACATCCTCCATGCGCAGAACCTTTGGCTACAGAGTTATATGTGTCGGTTTGAAGGAAAATACCTCTGTGTGAGAGACAATTAACCTAAATCGCTTGAAATGCTTACAGGGGTGTATAAAGATTACACCGACACACAAATAACACCACAACAAATTTAGTACATAGTAGTGATTGTTTGAACAAAAAAAAAGTTCTGAATTTGTTTCTTGGTATACCACTTTCCTAATATTATTTCATAAAATATGGCATAAATCTTGGACGTTGACATAATTGTGGTGTCGTCCCAGCTAAATCTGGTATTATGCTGATATGTCTTGTACGTAGTTGCCCTATACTGTCATAGTCATTACTGGGTGGTAATGACAGTGACAGTGATTTTGCACAATCCATCTTCATACAAAGACATAAAAAAACATGATTCAGACATTTTTCCAAAATCAGAATTATATTGTCTATAAGTGTATTTTGATGCATCATGGTGCAGAAAAACTGCAACAATTATTATGCAACTAATGTTACAAAACTAAGAAAATAAATAATAATTGTGTGTCCTTAGCAGACATTGCACTCTCTAAGTTTGGTTTAAAACTTTGCTACAAAGAACACTGCAAAGCAAAGTTTAGAGTTAACTCTTACCCTTTCAACCTTTCCCTTTTTTCCACACACACAGAGTATCTTATGTCAGAAGTGCTCTGGGCAAAATCCATGAGTGTCTGAAAAAATGAACTTACATCAAACTGTATCTGTTCTCGAACTTCATTTGCAACACAAAGAAAATACCACTCGTTTACATGGTGTGATTTAACCTGTTTAACCTGAAAAACATTTGCTACAGTGAGAAAATGTTCAGTATATAACCATCAGCAACATCCTGGAACTGACTATATACTGTAGCTGTAATTCAAACACAATGCCTTTAGGAAACACAATTTTATGGTTATGGTTGTACCTTTAGCAGCAAAAATGACTGTAACAAGGCAGCTCTTGATTTGCAATGAACAAAGCTACAGGCTGCATTAAGAGGGCCAGAGGATTCTGGTTTTGAAATTCTTTGTATTTCTGTTTTTATCTAGATTTAGAGCTCAGTGACATAAGAAATCCATGTCAGAAGCAAAATTTGACTTATGCAACATAAGAGAACTGAAACGAGTCATCAATTAATGACAACTATTTTCATCATTTCAGTCAGTGTTCAAGCAAAAATGGTTCCAGATTTCAGGATTTGCAGTTTTTCTCCATCATATGTGATAGCTAAGTAACTATTTTAAGATTTTTTGATTGTTAGTCTGAGAAATCAAGCTATTTGAATAGGTCAGTTTCAGCTCTGAGGAATTGTAAATGCTTTTCTGACATTTTGTAGACAGAACAATCATTGCTTTATTGAGAAAATGATCAACATTATAAACATTAATGAAAATAATGACTAGTTTCAGCCCTAATCATGACTAAAACTTAAATTCTTCATCTCCATTGCTTATAATTCAGTAGTGCTGCTCTTCACTAACTTACTGTATGTCATATTACAGTAAATCAGAACATAAAAGCCCTCTGATAAACAATGACGAACAACATGAAATAACTTTTTTTTAATACTTTCCATTAAATGCTTTCAACGGCTCATTAGGCCCTATTTAAATAGGAGAAAACATTTATTTACAGCAACAGCCTTTGTGTGAGCATGTAAGTGACTACACAGTGACTCGCTTCCAGTCATTTATATTGCAAAGACCACTATCTATTCCCAAATATAATCATAGCAACAAGCAAGAGCTCACACCTATGCTTATACAAATGTCAAGAGCATATAAAGGGAAAAAAAACCTGTGCGATTGCGCACTGAGATCCAAACTGCTGAGGGAACTACAGCAGAATTGTAACAATTAAACTGCCCTTGAAACTACCTAAGAGACCAGTGGCACTGTTGTGTAATAAAAAATTGCATGGGAGTACATAGTGTACACACACTCAAACTCAAAGAGTATGTCATTGTGCTCTCTCGATCTCTTACACATATGTGGGGACATAACGCCTATAAATTACATCAGGTTTCTTTTTTTTTTTTTTTTTGATGATTTATATGATGTTTATTGTGCAAGGTAATCAAACCACATGCTCTGTATATCGTACCTAACCATAGTCACATCACAAAACCTGAGCTATAAGCGAGTCCTTGTAAATGTGGCCACTCAACCAATATCCTTCCTAGAGTACAGGATAAAAATAATCCAGTGTCACAACCCTGGATATGCAAGCATGTTATCATTGTATTTGGTCCAAGGTTTAAATGATTTTAAATAGTATGAACAAAAACCCCAAATCTAAACACCACTGACATGTTGTGGCAGCACCCGAAATAGGCAGGCCCACTACTGCCTGCCATCTGAAGCAGTTCTGCCTGGGAATAGATGGCCACCGCAGCAATGTTAAAGACTCATTCAGAAAACACTTTTTGCATCATAGCGTATGTATCCAAAAGCTTAATTAAATTACTGTTGATTGCTGTCATGCTGAGTTTACAAAATAAACTGTGATGAAAAGGCATTCGTCAGGGTCACATCTCAACCATATAACAGACTGTAGAATATTTGATTGTGTAAAGTTACAGTAGAATGAAAAGAGTAAAGCTTTGAGTCTTATATATACACATGCCAGCAAATGTGAGCACACTGATGGAGATCTGCATCTGAACATTATGTCATTTACTGTTTAGCGTCCATTAAATTATGTATACAACCTTTTAGCCTTCACAAGCGATTTGGATTGTTTCATTCTTCCAACACGACCGGCTGCAGCTATATTTTGCTGATATTGGTCAGACCAGCAGCATATTTCCCTTGAGTGTTCAAATGCAATTTTATGTGTGAGCTAGTAGTGGCGAGGCTGTGGAAAACTGATATTCTCACAGCACACAGATGTGTGAACAGTGGCGAGCTCACGCGCACGCACAATTCACAAGCACACAAACTGACGTAAACACAAACAAACACATTTACAGTGTTTGTATGCTTTGTCTGCAGCCCTGTGATGTATTATTCAAAGTATGTTGCTCTATGTTTGATTCATTTGTTGAGGTTTAGGGGGAAAGAGCTGAAACTGGCTGACATCCAAAAGTTACATACTGCACCAGAGAAAACCTTACAAATAGCCAGAGAAATCTCATCCCTTATCCTGATAGGGTTGTCAACTGTCAGTGTAACCTGTTTCACATGACAGACATGCAAACACAGTCACGCCACATCACTCTCCACAACAGAAGCACACCACCGACTCCTTAGCATAATCCCAATGCACTGACATGACTGTACACCTCTGTACTCACGTCCCAATTATCCAGGCCCTCTGTAGAAACACACAATGCCTACAGCATCCCGCACAACATCCCACATGGCATCATTAAAGTCAAACAAACCGGCTGAATGTTTTATGTTCCGTTGTCTTCACCCTCTCCATGTGCCAGGCTCCTTTTCTCTCACTCATGTCGGCTCTTCCTTTGACGCTCTCTCTCTCTCTCTCTCTCTCTCTCTCTTTCTCTCTATCTTTTTCCTTTTTTTTTTTTTTACAAATCCATTTTTGCCTTGTGTTACTCTTATTCTCTTGCTGTTAGGTACAGCTTCACTTTCTCCATCACGCTGTCACAGTTTAGTATGTTTTTTTTTTTTTCTGTTATATTTTGTTTACGGTTCACTGTCTGTGGATCGTGTATCTGATAACAGCACGCCTCAAAGGCTGCTGTCAGAAACTCTGTCGTCACAGAAGTGACTCAAGAGTAAGAGAAATGTAACAAAGTTGGAAAAAAACATTATTTGCGTAATAGTTAATTACTCAACTAGCCAAATAAATAATATGTATTTTTATTATTTATTATCGTGTCTTACTATCTGGAATACTGAGGGACTGGACCAAGGACTGGCCTTGGAAGAGAACTGGAGTTGAAGGCAAATTCATACCACATGGCTATACATCATTTGACAGTTGTTTTATATGCCACAGCCGTTTCACCACAGGCTCTTGATGTATGACTATTCACTCAACATAAATCCAGAAAATCTGTTCTACACAGGTCTGCGTTCGTACACTAGAGCAAGGGGCTGCACGATTAATCGTTTTTGAATCGCGATCTCGATTCACACCCCTCTTCAATCTCATTTTTACATGACAACAATTCTGCCATATTTGCATTAGCAGAGAGAGCCACTGCATCAAACCAAAGGCTACCCTTTCCCCCTGAGCTCCCTGTGACAAATGACAGAACTGTGTTACACCACCTGACGATCCGTACACAGCAAAGACGGGGAGGATGTGAAAACAAATCTAATGCGTATGTCATGTTGACATAAAAAGCAAAATGAGTCAGATAGATTATGATATGCCGATTGCTGGTTGCACCACAGTATGTGTAGTGTGGGGAAGGAATAAATAAAAATGCCTCTGTTCCTGTTTGATTCATTGGACTACCCAAAAAGGATTATGATCGAGGTTAACAACATCCTTGGTCTGTTAAATCATACAGCGTAACATCTAATCTTTTGTTTACATTTGTCATTTACATTGTGAGAGGCCCTGTAAACAACAGCTAATAATTAATGATCACATTTTTTTACCATCTTCCTATAATGAAAACATATAATGTAATTATAATAATAAAGAGGGAATATGTTCCTCAAGAATCAAGGGAGAGCTGTGATCTCAATTCAGATTTAAAAATATCATGATTCACATTTCACTTATAATTATGCAGCCTTAACTGGAGCCAGATCATTGCAAGTGAGGGAAGCGCAGAAGCTTCTTCATTATCATTTAAATCATTGCCTAATGCAATGAGATCTAATAAACAGCTAGGGTTGAAATTCTGTAATACCACACATGGGAAATGATCATTTAGGATTAAAACAAGCCCATAAATAAGAGTTCTGGGGTCTTGGCAGGGCAGGATTGGCGGGGACAGAAGCTCGGGACTGAAGAAATAATTCAGGACCACGAGGCAATCTATCCCATCGATCTGTCCATGTAGCTCTTTGACAGTAAGCACCCACTTATGGCACAGCAAGAAGGTTACATTTAAGAAAGCCTAAGTAAGAGGGGAGTTGAATGTATTATAGTTTTGGTGCTGTAATCATCAATTTCACAATTCACATGATGTTAGAGGTCAAGGCTCCTCCGTGGTCATTGAAGCACAATTATACAAAAGGAAAAGAAGAACTGAAGTGTTGAGCTGAATTCAATCATTTTCTATGAATAACAGGGAGTTTACTGTCAATGTTACTGTTGAGTGTTGTGCAAATTTATAAATCTAATCTCTCTAGACAGCACAGTCAGAATTTACATGAGACATTAGAAAGAGAAAGTGTCAGTGCATTGAATAATTACAATAATGCTTACCATAGTTTTTTTCCATGTATGATGCAAAATACAGCATACTCGCTACTGTGGGCAAGTCACAACTAAATGTGAGAACGCACGATGACACAGTTGAGTAACTTTTAGCAATTCATCACCACAAAGTGAGACACACCGGCCACTAGCTGGAAACTGTTATGCCCTTTCACATTGTTCCTCACACTTGACTACACCTGCATCTGTTCTACCCCCATCTTACACTTTTATGGCTCTTTATTACCCTGTAAGTGAGCCATCAATTTTACAGTATGTGTAATTAATTGTAAAGTTAAAACTGTTGCTTTTTCACAATCAACAGTTAATGCAAACCATCAACTACCAAGTGGAGTTATACGACAGGGAGCTTTTAAACATAAGTCAAACAAAACTACTTAAAGTCACGAAAATCAAGAGAATAAAGTGTATCCATAATTAAGATTGTGCTTCTGTCTTAATTCATTTGTATCTGGCCCTGTCCCGGCTTTCGTGTTGCCTGTCCTCTGACTGTGCTTTACCTGGATCCATGGCCATCTGTCATTTTCGGCAGCAGTCCAGGCATTGACCAGGCCCTTCTTGTTGAGGCGTGCAAAGTACGGGTACCACTTCTGCAAGCCAAAGAGAGCACGGTGGGTGGAGGAGGCTGTTATCTGTTGGTTGGAGATTATACCACCCTCCATGCCCAGTGGTCCGGAGCATTCTGAGTGAAGAGAGGGAGAAAGAGAAAGATGACCCTTCAAAAATGTGTGCAACTCAGTCTATGGAATGCATACAGATTTTTTTTTTTTTTGGGGGGGGGATATAGATGATGTCATTTTGTCCTCCACACCTTGTTTCATTTTTCTCTTCAGTATCTCCACATCAGAGTCAATATCCTTGTTTATCTCTCACACACAAACACCCCAGTCTCCTGTACTTGTATTACAACCAGACACAGCCATTAAAACTGTAACTGTATCTGTTATATTGTTGTAACGACATGGTTCTTTAAGGTCAGCATAGTTTTATTGTTTGACCCTGACTTCTTTTTCTCTTACTATAATTGTTGCTTTGATTCATCACAAAAAAAAAAAAAAAAAAAAGGCAAAATGCTTTTGAGTCACAGCTGCCAACGAGAGGACTCCCCTCTGCCTTCATGCTGTCTGCACTAACAGGTCACTCCTCCATCAGTCACACAGCCCTCAGGCTTCCTCCCAAGGAGCCGCAGCCACTCCTGGACAGCATCATCCCCAAAGTCAACAAGCTTTGTAACACCTTAAAATATCCTGCAGGCTGCAGCATTAAAGTGGGGAGGCAGGACAGCGACTGTGAAAAGCACTGTCCTTTCTTCTTCAAGCAGCTTGTTTTCCCTCTTAATCCTAATTGGTATGTCCAGACACATCAAGAGCATTTTAATAGACATACCTGTGGTGAAAGGGATTCTGGCAATGTTTATCCAATGGAGAATTTATTGTTCTGCAAAACTAATTTACTTTCTTGGTGGTTTCCATTTAAAAAAAAAAAAAAAAAAAAAAAAAGCCAATCGGGAAATCAAGTAATAATAGAAAACACATGAGAAATGAAAGCACAATGTAAAAATAGATGGGAAGGGGGCATGCATCCATATGGTATGTTTGATAAATATAGCACATACCACAATATACAATTTTATTGCATAAAATTGAAAAATCCCAAAAAGTTGCCACTACTCCCCAAATGAGATTTTCCTAATTGCTCATTTACACATAAAAACATCTGGTTTTCTATCAAAACATATCACAGCTTGTGAGGTTTAGCCAGCATCGGGTCAGATTCAATTAGGATGTGAAATGCATGCAAATCGTATACTTTGCCTCTGCAATTATAAACCAACTCAGCCCGTGGAAAGGCATCATCAAAGAAAACTCAGTTGTGCCAAGAAAACAACCTAAACAGTTCAACTGTGGTTGCTCCAATTGTTGTCCAAAACAGCTATGGGATATTGCCATCAAAAATGAATCAGATGTCACTGTGGGTCGTCAGAATCCTTCAGCCTGAATAAATTGTGTTACGACTTCTGCAATGAAATTGTCTCTCCACTGGAAAATATTCAAAGTTGTAATATGCATCTTATTCACTTAAAAATAGCTAAGAAAGCGGTTTCCCATGCTGCGAGAAGTGACACAAAGCTGGTTTGAATTCTGCTCGGCAGTCAGGATGCAAAGACACCCTCGTCATTACACTTCTCCTAGCCCACAGTGTCTCTTAAAAATAAACAGCATCGCAGCTGTTTGTGTGCTGAATAAGTTATGACAGATGCTTAAGTTTTAATTAGTCTTTAAGTCAAGCATATAGTTGACATAAATACAAGGAAATACAGCTGAGCATTTTTTTTTTTTTTTCTTTTTCAAGTATCTCTCCTAATTGAACATGATTGCAATGAATGCTGTATCATACTGCTGCTACCACCTTCTTTTCACTGTGTAAGGGAAAGTGGCTTGACAGTATTTCAGTTATTTATGGTTTGACCCAAAAAGGATGATGAACATCCAGCAGGAAATATACTGAGGACACTTGCAAGTGAAGAACAGCTGACACTGGCTAAATAGTTGAAAAAGTCTGAGGACAAATACTCAATGTTTACTGGATTTTTTGATGCAGGGCAGTCTGTGTTACACAGAGAAACTACCTAAAACTGCAGTCTGGGGCATTTAATTCTATATCAGAATTTTAAAGTCATGAGTTTGAACATAAACCTCAAATGGGCGGCCAAATGGATTTAGTTTCCCACAGCTTTTCTTATTGTGTAACAGCCGTAAACAGGCAGGGATTCCGCCTTCTCTGTTGTTGGTGTTTATTTCTAATGACAACAGGGATAAAATTGATTAGAGCAATAAAACAGAGGACACACAAAATTTATAATACTTCTCTGTGTGAACAGTGGTGGATCTGATTAAAATTTAATCAGTCCATTTGATTTCTCCCATTAGCGCATGTCTGGTTACAGATGATGAAATAGCTGTGCGTAAGAGACTAAAAAACCACAGCTGAGAGAACTTGGAAGTGCCCCAAAAGAATGAGGACATATCAAGCCAAGAGTTCAGCTAGAGGCACTGCTTGCTCATGCCGGATAAACTGTAAGTGTCAGTGTAAGTGAGCCTTCGGGGGACGCCTGGAGCAATGGTCACCAGACGGCTGTGATGCGTTCATCGCCATTTAAGCAAAACACCTAAACATTTCACACCCAGCACTGACACACTGACAGACAAGACACACACATACCAGCAGACAATGAAACTGGCAGCACTAAGAGCTGTGAGATGACTCTCACCCCACAAGAAATCCAAGAGTGAGAGAAGAATGGAACAATGAAAGCAAACCCTAGCACGACTTATCCAGCTGGTAAAACAGTGGGGTTCTAGTCAACAGGGAGCCAGGGAGACAGTGAGTAATGTCTGAGGATGGTCCAGGGGGATCAAGTGGTGGAGAGAAGAGAGCAGAGAGTATATCCGTGTGTGTGTGTGTGTGTGTGTGTGTGTGTACTGACAGTACTGACAGAGATGTTTTTTTTATATATTCCACTATGGTAAATCACTCTTGCTTCACTGGTTTTTCCTTGTGTGTGACTCACCGCTTCCAGACCTATGAGAGGATGGTGTAGGTGGCTGCGGTAGCCTACTGCTGAAACTAAAAGAAGCTTGGATGAACAGCTTTCATCTTGAGACGTAGTAAACCACTTTAAACCAAAGGCTTGGAAAAAGAGAGAGCCAGATTAGGACTTTCCAAAATGACCAGTGTGTTGCACATACAGTGATCCACGTTACATTTGCATTTTAGCGCTGTAGCCCTAATCCTTGTAATTCAGAGACAATGGACGTCTTTGTATTTTAGTGGCTTTTTCTGCTTAACACAGGAAGAGGAAGAGGAAAAAGTGCCTTAGACAAGGAGGTACGTCCATCTGCAAGATATCTAAAAATGAATGGACGTCCATGGAATTGGACATACACATTTATGTCCTCGGCCAGGGAGCAATTCATTCAAAGTGATTTAATTCATTCTATAATTTTTAGCCATGAAAATAAATAAATAAAATATATATTTCAAATCCTATGGGTGTGTTTGCAGACTCAGCAATCAATAGGGACATTTTTTAGGTGTTGCAGTAAATAGCACTATGCACTGATTATATTTCCTTTTTCCAACTCAAAGCAAAACAACATTAAGAGTCTATAATTGTGCTAGTGGCTCTTAGGCACAGGGGCACTTTGAGCTAAATGCTAATGTTTTGGCGAGCTAACATGCTGATGGTAAACAAGTGCAATGTTAACCATTTCAGTTTAGAGTATTAGCCCGCTAACATTTGCTAATTAGCACTAAAAGTACAGCTCAAAAAAGTTATTAGGCTACAGCACCTTCTCTAAAACCATGGATGTCTGCACAAACCTCTGTGTTAATCCATCTGGAAGATGTTGAGATATTTAACAACATGTGTAAAAATGTGTTGATGGACATGTAGGAAAAATCAAGGCGCCACCAAAGTCAATAGGATTCATCCTCTGGGACTGTCATGGTAATCCATCAAATAGTTGTTGATTTTGGACCAGAGTGGTGGAACGACAGACAGACTGTCACTGCGTTCCCTAGAACCAGGTCACTAGCATGGCTAAAAACATGTTTCAAACTAATTCACAGAGAGCAACATGTGATCATTTGCTTTGTGGAATTAGACATACCGATACATGGCTGATCTAAAGGAGTGTTAACTGAGTTGAGGGAAATAGCTCCTGATCAAATGTAAAGAATGTAGGGAGTGAAAGCTTTTTGGGGATCGTGTAAAAATAATACATGCTATTTGGACACAAGCACCAAATGGCATATCACCCTGATTTAACTTTTTTTTTTTTCTCTCCTTACTTCGACATGACGTTAGGGCTGAGGTGCAATGTTACAGCAACACATTATCATATTTGTCTAGATGTTGTGCTTCCAGCGCTGCTCTCTTGTAAGATATTTTATGTGGATGTTGTGGCAAGACACTGTTGCAAAGCCGCGGTCCGTCTCACCTTGCGGCAATGATGGGCCAGTCTTAACGAGCTGCCTGCCAGCCGTCCGTCAGAGCAGCAGAGGCAGCCAGCCCCCGGGCCTTGGCCTGCTGGCCCCTGAGCATACATCAGCCCTGCGACAGCACGCATCACTAACACCAGCACTACCATGATGTGACAGCTGAATCCATCTCCCACAAGCCCTACCTACAGCCTAAACAAATTAGAGCCCCACTGAAATTAATGCCAGCACACCAATACTAATGAGCATGCGGTGGAACGAGGGAATGAGGAAAAGAGTAATAAACACACAAAACAGACGTCAGCCATGCAACGGAAGTTCTTCAGGTGACAAATGAGACTGATTTAAATGCACTTGTACGTATAAGATGTAGGTGTCTGAGAATGTCCGCATGTTCCTGTGCAGTTAGTTTCAAAATGTGCAAGACAGCAATCAGTATTCTAATAAAAGATTTAACAATATTATAATTGAATAAAAAGGAGCAAACATAAGTACATGCATACATGTTTTCACACAAATATACACACTCATATTGTATGCTGTGCAGTTTTATACAGTGGAGTCTGGGTGGTCTACAGCAAAATGAATAACTAGTGCAACCATGTGCTTAAAATAACAACAACGGTCCCAAACTGGCTGCTTTAAGGTCAAGCCAAGGGTGCTGAAATATTTCTTTGTTGTTGTGTTCTCAATAACTGTTTAATATAGAGTTATGCTACAGCTAGGACTGGTATCAAAAACCTCATGGTTGCCAGTTGTCAAAGCAACACATGGGTACATAGAAGTCAGAAAAAGTGACTGTCAGGAGAAGCGATGGAAAGATGGAAGTAAGGCAAACTTGGTGTGCTTAAATCAATTTCGCTTCTGCTGACAGCAGATGTGTCTACAATCATGTTAGCCTTAAGATGCGTTTGTGAGCAGTCACCACACCACAGTCACCACCTTCTCTCAATATCGGTCTTTAACTGACCATTTAACCCATATTAGTGTCTGAATGTGTGACTGTCTCTGGACAATTACAGCAGTAACAACATCAAATTAGTTTCAGCGGAAAGACCGAGGCAGCTCGTTCCAAGTGTTATCTGACTGTATTTCATGCTTTCATGTGTATTTTACTCGGATTCACGTTGGCAAGTGATAGATACGATTCTTCTCCTCACTTCTCGCTTTCCATTGGATCATGGGAATCAATATTGAAGGCACTGTAATTATTTCAGTAAAACAGGATAATCACTGAACAGGCAGGGAATGGCCAAAACCCCACTACTGCTTTCACATAATATTGTCACGCTGATTTCAGGTATAGTGCGGCACAGGCAGAAAATGTACAGCTGCTTAATCTGCGTCCGTCAATGTGTGTGCGGGACCTGCCCACACACACAATGTGGGCTGAAGGAACAAGTCAGAAGAGATGATGAGTCCTTGCATAGAAGTGCATTCCAGGCATTCTACCTTTTTTTTTTTCCTGTGTGCACTGTATTCACTGGGGACCTGACTGTACTTCTTATGATAAGACTGCAACATATTCAACAAACACTCAATTTAAATATGAAAAGTCTAAATTTAGATTTAGATTTTAAAAGGGGCATACCACCGCTCAGTTTACTCATCACAAGGAGCTCTGGAGAAGCTCTGTTGAATTAACCCCGAGTGATGTCGCAGTAATGTCATCAGGGTTATCTCAGCTTGAAGACTACGGATTTTTAGCTGAAAGTTTGTGTAAGTGAGAATGTCACTCTTAAGTTTGCTAGGTGTGGGCGTTGACGAGGCAAAGAAGGTGTCTTCATCGAGTAACACTATGGGAAATGTAGGTTTTGGAACTACAATGATACCAGGGATGAAGAATCAAAGTCAAAAGTTGCTGCAGTACCTGCTGCTTTCATCTGTAGCATTCAAGCTACAGATGAAAGACTGAGACTGGTGGCAGTAAATTTATCGAATAAACCTAATAGAATCCTGCCTGTTATCATTCATATCATTTATCCATTTCAAAACTGTAGCTGTGGTTTGGAGATTTTGACAGACACGGATATTAGTTTGTTTTTGAAATGTTTTCAATAATAAATTCTGTAAGAGAAAACAAATCTTTTTTTTTCTATTCCTGCTGCTGGTAATCCAATCTCTCAGTTTCTGACTGCTTTTCGACATGAAGCAGCATTGCCACAAAAAATACTGTAGGCTATAGTTCAGTCTGAAAGAATTGGGACCGTGTTGTGTTTGGCTCAACTCCAGCGCAGCAAGTGTTTGGGGTTGTTAACATTAGGTGAGTGGTGTAGGACTTATGGCCCGTTTTACCCTTGTGGGATATGTTTAAAAAGGGCTAAATTTTCTAGACATTTCATCTGCTCTGGATGTACACACCATCGAATTAAAAGCGAGAGCCAGCACTTTCAACTCATGGTCCCTGTTTCCTTTCCAGTGTAATGTGTTGAGGTACAGACTGCACCACAACTTCGAAAATTATAGGCTGAATTAATGGTTGTATAATATGCTGTACAAATATTGAATTTAATGAGAAAATGAAAATGAGCATCATTAAACAAATAATGGAGCTTAGTATACATTCAATCAGCAAGACTAAATCTTTCTTCTGACAAGTGAGTGCTTCACTTACGAAACCAACCTAATCACAGTTCACAAATTTCCCTCTGCCTTCTGTTTTTCAGGTTTTCAAAGCAACTACCAACATTTTTCCCTCCCTGACGCAGACTTGTTCGAAATTCCTGTCTGTTGAGATCTAGTCTGTCGCAGAACAACTGTGCTGCACCTCAGATAGTAAATCTGATAGATTAATTTGTGAGTAGCAGTGCAGGGGTGGCTCAGGGCTGAGTCCACTGATACATTAATCCGAAAGTGTTCCTCGACTGAGCAGACAAAATCCCCCACAATAGCATAATAAACACATGAAGCCGCTTTGAGCGCTACGGTGTCTTGCAAAAAGAAAGCCACTTCTGATAAGACAGAAACTCTCTGGCTCTGTTAAATGAAAAGAGGGCCTGCTTGTACAAAGTGACTTCTCAGCATTCAAATGTTTTGATTTTTTTAATTCATTCATTCATTTTTTTTTTATCATTACGCTTTAGGGTCCATGCAGAAATTTTCTTGTTATTCATGTTTTCTACTAAACTAATAGAAGGAGAAAATTTGATTTATTTTCATGATGTTGATGAAATTTTAATAAACGGGCTGTGCATACTTTTGCATATCTAATGTTGCTCGGATCTCATATTCATGTTGTACTGTTTGAACATCAGTTAAACAGAATCAGGAGTAATTCTGTACTTTTAGCTGATAACTGATCTCAGTGGATGGATTTCAGGATGTACCTATGATGCCTTTCATTCAGAAAGCATGAACATTGTATGGGATGTAAAGACTCCAGATATTTTCATGCTCCTCTAGCTATAACCAAAAATATACCGAGGTAATTTCAGTTTATGTATACACTGTAATCCTGTAATCTGTTCAGTCATATATCATATAAGAGCAACTCATACCCCATATGCATTTTCAGATATAATCGAGGAAGGATTATTTAATAAACATGCACGATTTCCCCTTATTCATTAGATTAAATTCTACAGTATACACCAAAACAAACAAACCTTTCAAACTTTTTTTTTTTTTTTTCTATGTCAAATGTTGCAAATGCCTATTTTCCTTCTTTACTTTTGGTGCTCGAATCTCTCTCAAACATATTATTTACCTGCAGTGGTGCACACCGAGCACATGATGGTTCCTGCAATTATCACTTCCCTTCACTTGATAGCTCACCCTTAAACCCACATGACTCCAGCCAGATGTAATGTACAGTTTTCTTATGACCTTATTTTGAACTTCTGGATGTTGTTGTAAACAAGATAAGATAAATTTTGGGTTACATGTGATCCCAAAAAATCTACAGTGAAAATAAAAACAATGGACTAATTATGAAACATCCATAAGAAAAGAAAAGTCCTCAAGACTTAATAAACTCGTAAAACACATGAACAGTTTTCATCACAGGTTGGTGCACTATCCACTGAAGCATGGTTAGATGTTCGATCAGTTTGCTTCTTGGCTAATACTACCCGCTGTGCAATTACCTGCAGCATCAGGTGTGCTGTAAACACTGGGAAGTTCTAAAAGAGTTGAAAGACAAAACATTAAAAAAAGAAACATGAGCACTTACTGTATTGACAGTTCCTCCCCATGTACTCCCCTGGGCATTCGCAGGAATAGTTGGCAACCAGATCTGTGCAAATGCCCCCATTCTTGCATGGGTCCCTTTCGCATTCGTTAATATCTAGAAGAGCCAAGAAACAACAACAACAAAAAAAAAAGTTGCATTCATTTATTTAAAGCAGACAGTCGGCAATTAGAAAGACCTCATCCTCATTAGAATGCATTGGTAGGGTGCATATATTGAATTTTCCCTGTGTGTTACTTGATTCTGTTTGCCCCTGAGAAGCTCTCACAAAGACACTGGTTTCTTGAAACTAATAAATCAAATTGCTCCTTAGGAGACCATTAATGCTAGAACATAGGCCCAAGTTCTCAAATGTTAAGAACAATTAACCCAGTGTATTTTCTTTGTAGTTTAAAGAATTATCATACTTTCCAATGTGATTTCCAAAGTGAAATCTCTACAGAAACTAACTGCTCAATTCTTCTTCTAAGGGTTTTTGGATGTTGGCCAGTTTCCAGAAATGTTGACTTATTGATAATGATAAATTAATGATGTCTTTGTGAGAGTTAAGAATTAAAATAGCATTTAGGGTGTTTATAATTGCATTGCAGCCCTCCTAAACTGCATACATACAATTCAAATTTTGCTAAGTTGGCCTGTTAGATTTTATATCTGTTAACACCAAATCTAGCCAAAGCAGAAAAACTGCCAAAAATCTTTAACATGAATTATTTGAAAATCAGAGATGCCTTTGAATTGGGAGTTTTTCTTTTCTTTTCTTTTCTTTTTTCAGCTGACCATACACTCTAAAACTATTATTTCCTCACAGGCAGTATTTGATTTATGAGTAAACAAAGGTTCTGTTTGATTATATTATCAATAATATTATATAGTTTAGTATAAGTTTTTTTTTTTTTTGTTCTACTTTACTTTCCAGACATGAGCAAGTCTTAACCAGACACCATTATATTTATTTTATTCAAACATTAATCAGTGGCAAATCAGACGGACCACAGCTGGACTCACTGACTCATCTGAAATGTTACTGAATACCTTCACTAAATTAAAAAACAAAATACTGCACCAGTAATTTAGCAGTAAAAGTAAAAACCCTCTTCATTCAAATAGCACAGCCACACAGAGCCAACTATCAATATGACTAATTCTCACAGGATTATCATCTACTGTACAGCCACCTTTGCTCTGTAATTGCTCTCTAAAATAGCTCTTCTCTGTTTGATTAATCTAACCAGTTACAGAAGGTGACAGACCCTCAAACCCACCCATCACACCAATTTGCATGCTGCTCTATTACAGATCCAGTTCGGGGGAAGGAGATTATAGGGATGGTTTAGAAGGAGAGGCAGGAAACGGCATTTGAACATTTTTTTACAAATTTCTAATGATTTCCAAACTTGCCTGTGGCAGCCGCAGGACTTTTAATCCTCTAAAACATACCCTGAGTCGTCTGTGACTCATAGGTGTATTTTGGCTTCATGTATATGAAACTAGGTTTGAGATTTGGAAAGCTTAAGAAAGTGAAACATGATTAAAGTAAGTCCGTTACGGTGCTTCATCTCTGTGAGGGTTTATCTATAAAATCTATAATAGTCACTTGAGCACATTTGTAATATCTCAAAATACATCTTTTTTTTTTTGGTTAATGTCTCATGCTCCGGGGAAATACAGTCATGGTCTTCACACATAATGGTCACCGAGGTACTGTGACTTGAGGCAGTAGCATTTTTAATCTGCAGCAGAGCAGAGTACTAAAAAATAAATAAATGAAAAGAGTGAAATAAAAGTGAGGGAGAGAGGCTCTGAGAGAAAAAGAGAAATGTTTTGTGATTCACCCAAAAATCCACGGGGGATCCGGGAGACAACTCTATTCGGGTGAAAAGATGTTTGATGAAACTGAGCTGTAAAACCTTTCCCAAAAGACGAAAAATAAAATGTGACGCACGTTGAACCTGAAACACACATCTACTTTGTTTTCATTTATGTGGTGTGCACAAGATGACATTTTGTTTTGTGTGTCAGCCTGGATGTGTACGATTGTATATAATCTTGAATACAATCTAACACTGTGTTTTTATATATTTATTTTCTTTATTTTGTGAGCACGTAGCCGTAGCATTTCAAAACAAGGCCTGCTGTTTCTTGTAATGCGATGGCTACATCCCCATTCTTGTTGGACAGACTGGAGGAAAAGAAAAAAAAAAAAAATCACCTTCTGGCTTACAGAGCAAAACAAAAGAGTTGATTTTCACAGTTGGCACTTAAAACATCCACCACAAAAATGCTTTACACAAAGTAGGTGGATGAAAGAAAAACTGCAGGGTCCACTCATGTTTGATTAGGATGGAATGTGTAAATTATAACAGAGAGAAGTGAAACATGTTTACACTGTCAGGCTGTGAGGATTCATGTGCATGACATTTTGTCATGAGGGGCGCTGCATTACGTTTGCATTTTGCCATTGCACAGATGGTTTGCGGCCGTCTATCTGTCTGTACATGGTTTTTCAGGGTCTGTTCCCTAAGACATTTTCAAAGCCATTTAATACAAAGCCATTAAAGCTCCAATTCGCAGTTGGCGCACAGTCTCCCATCTCCCCCAAAAATTACATCAGCGTTAGATCAGAATTTGTCTACAGTCCGCCAGGGATCATGTAGTTGAGTCTACGTGGTTTGCATCATGGAGATTCGACCTATATGCAACAACTGGAGAGATGCACTGTATAGTAAATACGGAGTTGGGCTTCAATCTGAAGCTTGGAGAGGGACAAAACCGATTTAATGATTTTCCTCACACAATAACGACTCAAACAATTCAATCTCATAATCATTATAAAACTGATAGGTGATAGGAAGAAGGGGAATTTTTAAAAGCACTTTAAACAGCATATAACAGATCAGACTTATCTGATGTATGTAATTTCACGAAATTTAGTTCAAAGTTAAGTATTTGTTATGATCTACACTCTGCCATGATTGGTGCATGTAAGAGAGCCAATCTCTCAAAGACTCCAGGTCTGTCAGTGATGGCGTGGTGTTTTTTCGGATGCGTTGCAAACTTCTAACTGGTTGCTATAATCAGATGCTATCGTACTTCTCCATAGCTGATTCCAGTTACTATCATGGTTCAGATGAGAAACAGAATCATGCTTAAAGCCATTTTCCGCATGTTTGCCAGAGTTTTTTCTTTTCTTAAACTTGAGCCGTGGCTGTAACTGTTCTTTGAATAGCTAGCACAGGACAATAAGGGATAATTACGAATCTAAAAACAGCCGGCATGACTAATACAAGAAACTAGACTCCTACTGACAACACATTAGCTGCAAACAAATGAACAAACAAACACTTGTCAGAAGGAAACATCTTGATTATGGAAGGTTACTGCAATCAAGGGGGATTATGTTTTAATTAATTCCAGTTTGAGGGGCCTTACAATCCCATTAACAACCATAACCCTGAAAAATACCAACTGGAGTCCGCCTTGTAAAGAAAAACAATGGCCAGTCCTCATTCAACAATTTAGCTTTTCAGTTATTTTAATGGTTATAATCCTCAATAACCAGTAAATGTTTGCAACTGTGACAACAACAATAACAATACTAATGCAATTATTAATTAAGGGCACAGCATACCCATATGAAACATCATTCATGTATTCCACAGCAGATTAATTTGTACAGGGAATATCTGGTCTTTACTAATCGCCTGAGTGGAACACTCAAATGGAAATATGATTTTATAACCACTTGTAAACATTGAGATATAATGAATTCAATACATTAACTGAATGTAGATCCATCTGAGATCAGATGCTGTAGCATTAATATGTATGTCTATAAGTGAACAGCTTACTCTTGACGATAATAGAAGTGAACAATATGCCCTGAACAATAAGCGAAAAAAAAACTAACAATCCTCAGCTCATTCTGCACACAGAACAATCTACTGTTATTTCACAACAGCAAAAACTCCACTTAGATACGTAATGCTGTAGTTACCCTTTGAGTTCATATCCTGCTTTGTTGTCACCGGTGGGTTCAAATACAGAGGTGAGCCAAATGGGCAAGCCACTCAAATAGCCTGGAGCACAACATACCACAGAGAAAAGAAAACACAGCCAGCCCATCTTACGATTTGCCTCTCTTTTATGAGAGGCCATCAGTCCCTGGGAGATCAGCGCAGGGAAAGTGAGACTTAAAAGCGGCGCATTGCCAGTAAATCAGGTGGGAGAAAAGGGATTACTTCGGGGAATGCAGTTAATCCACTCGGTAAAAACTAGAGAAGAAGGGAGAGGAGAAGCATGGAGAAGATGGGAGAGACAGAAACTGTGAAAGCAAAAAGAGAGGACAGGGGGGAGGAAATACACAGAGAAAGAAAGATGTGCTAGCCCAGTGGTCAGGTAAATGAACTGTGTTTACACAACTTCTTTAACACAGTCACAGTTACAGGCAGACATCCAAGTAGTTCCTCTCATTGATAATAGTCCAATATCTACCATTCTGCATTTAAATATATTCATTAAAGCCTTAAAATGGTAAAACAAAATTTTTCCGTCTTCTGTTTAATGAGGATGGTGCTATCTTGGTTATGACGATTTAACAAGCCACTTTGAGTAACGATTTCTACAGTGCATGGAGACAATAAAACTACCAGGCATACACACTTTAATGCAATCCAGCACTCTGGCTCTCCAATAATACGACTGTAGTGTCGCTTATAATGCTCAGTTATTGTTGAAACGGAGCCAGAACAATGCTGATTCATCTGAACCTGTATTTAGTGGCATTCCACTGGACTGTAATACTTTGCAATCTGTTATTTTGTCCACATACACTGATTGGCAAAATGCTATGCTATGCAACTTCACTACCTGCAGATCAGTAAATAATAGAAATGAATCAAATCTGATACAGTCTAAAGACAAATTGAACAGAATCATCAAAAGGTAACTTCAGTACAGAGAATTGTAGAGAGCAGCTGTTGGTTTTTCATGTGACATATTAGGAATGATAATGGAATTCCATACATTTATCAGTGTGTTATTATCACCCATCTCTAACCCATGCACAATGCCTCTCCTTAAAAAAAAAAAAAAACAAG